GTCATTAATAATGAACGGGAAGAGAAAATAGTGATCAGGAGTACATTGGATAGTGATTGACATTGCATTGAAATTTTTGCTGATTAAAATTGGCTGGAAAGCATGGAGCCGGAAGGGAGTTCCACAAGAGAGGAGTGCGAGAAAAGAAACTGTTAGCATAGAACTTACGGCTAACATCAAGCCAGCTCAAATGTAAATTGTTCAGATCTTGACGCCAGTCTGGCAGTGCGCCTCAATTCAAAGCGTTTTGATTCCGTAGCTAATGGCTCATCCTAACAATTACCAGGATATATATATATATATATATATATATATATATATATATATATATATATATATGTATGTATGTATGTATGTATGTATGTATGTATATGAGTGTGTGTGTGTGTGTGTGTACTTACGAAAAGTCAGGAAACCTATAGAGTAGAAATAGAGAGATAGAAAGATAAGCAGAGAGACAGATATATTAGGAAAAGGAATATTTGCATTTTGTCCTTTATGACGTCATCGGGCTAAAGTGATATTTACCGTCATGTAATAATTATGCGTATGAAGGAGAGAAATTTTAAGCTTTTAGATTAAATTTATTTGTTAATATCTGAGCAATTTCATTTAGTTTTCCTTTTTGCGTATGTCTTTATCATTTTTGTTTTTTAAGTAACACCCATTTTGATAATAGGAGCACTAACAAATATATATGAACAGAGATATCTATCTATCTATCTATCTATCTATCTATCTATCTATCACAATCTGGACACTATCTATCTATCTATCTCAGTCTGGACACTATCTATCTATCTATCTCAGTCTGACACTATCTATCTATCTATCTATCTATCTATCTATCTATCTATCTATCTATCTGTGTGTGTCTGTGTATGTGCGTGTATTATACATACATACATACATATATATATATATATATATATATATATATATATATATATATATATATATATATATGTATATATAACTACTAGTAATACTCGGTTGGAAAAACTGGGATAGCACAACTTGTAAGTCTATATAAACAAATTGGTACCCGAGGAAAAAAATTGGGGGAAAGAACTAGAAACATCCGAAAAGGGCGAAATAAATCGTCCAGTGCCTTTAGCTTTTTAGTCGAAAGCAAAAATCCCAAGCGAATAATAAATCTAAAATACACTAAGCAGAGCAGGTATAAATGGAATAAATCCTAAAGAGCTAGCTTACCCTGAAGATCCGTTTAGGTGAAACGTAGGTAGGTTGTGCCTGGATCTTTAGGATTTATTCCATTTTTATATATATATATATATGTATATAATAGCTGGCCATTCGTATTCGAGGATACGCGTCAACTAGGCAGGCTAGTCAATCCCTATTGCAGAGGCCCGCTCAAGCGCATTTTTGTTTATTCAACATCCACAGAACCAACATTTAGTTTATACTGCAACTATGCTGAGCATAGACCTTAGTTACAGATTCTGGGAGAGAGCGGGTTATCTAGCGTGATCAACAATTTGGACAAGTCCAGCACGTTAAATCCTCGGTCACGATGACTTGTGACTTCGTGCTAGCACAGCTATCGACGCCCCCCCCCGTTTCACTCACAAAGCTTGCGTCAACCCGTGGTATGGCTTTCAGGCACTTTCCAAAGGTGCCGCGCGCTGGGATCACCCTGACAAGACAAGATCGGGAAGTCCCATTTCCTGAGAAATCGACCGTGGTGAGATTCGAACCTGGGTTTCATGGTCAGAAAACGATCGCTCTAACCACTCGGCACACTTATTATATATATATATATATATAGTTCTCAGCAGGAGTTTTCAGTACTTTCAGCCCTGAACCTCAGATTTTATTTTGGAACAGAATCTTGAGTTGTCGCGTGATATTTTAGTCGACTCAAGAAGTGTTTCATATATGTATACATCAACAATGATAAGTGCAAAAAAAAAAAAAAGAAAAATCGAAAAAAATATAAGCAGTTTATTGCTGATATCCCCTGAAGAGTGGACGGACTGGTTCGCCTACGAAACTCTGGAGTCGGGATGCTGAAGATAACATCAGTTAGCTAAGTGGCAAGCTTTTACATATTTTTTTAAGCGTTTCACCCCAAGCAAGGCGGGAAGCCACTAGCACGCAAGGGGTTACAGAGAGTTGGAGCGAGAGCAAATAGGAGTGATAGAGAAAAGGATGAAGAGAAGGATAGGGGATAGATCAAGGCATCTGGAGACGTCGATTGACATTACATTTGAATAGTTGGAGATTATAGCTATCAGGGAAACAGGGATAGGGAAGGGAGTTCCACAGGCGAGAAGTGCGAGATATGAAGCTATTGGAGTCGAAGAGACGGCTACATTTAACAGTTTCCACAGTGAAAGTGTGAGAGCAAGATGCCAGTCTAGTTGAACGCTTAAATTCATGAAGACTGGGAACCAGCGAAAGCAGCTCATCGGAGCAGTTACTGTGAAGGTATTTGTAAAAAAAGACACAGGGAGGCGACGGCACGTCTGTGAGA